TCGTAATATTCATAATGATATTCTTAATAATAACAATAATGATAATAGCGATGATACTTATTACATTAGTAGTAATGACGTTGATAATTATGATGATAATGGTGGTAATTATGATATTTATGATGATTTTTATGATGATTATGATGTTTATGATCTATAATGTAAAAATGCTAAAAGTAAGAAAGCCCCTAAATTCGAAAAATAAAACGCAAATTCGACTGAAATATAGACCTGGAAAAAATATTTTTTAATCAAAATTTACAATAATGATAATTTTGTCAACAACTAAGTTAATAATGACAAGAATGATGATAATTGGATTCATAATAACAGTAATGATATGGGAGAATATAATACATTGATAATGATAATAAGGATAATTTTGATAAGAAGTGAAATAATAGCCGATATTTTTATAATTGTCATAGTAACAATAATGAAAATAATAGTAATAATAATGAAAATCATAATCGTAATATTCATAATGATATTCTTAATAATAACAATAATGATAATGGCGATGATACTTATTACATTAGTAGTAATGACGTTGATAATTATGATGATAATGGTGGTAATTATGATATTTATGATGATTTTTATGATGATTATGATGTTTATGATCCATAATGTAAAAATGCTAAAAGTAAGAAAGCCCCTAAATTCGAAAAATAAAACGCAAATTCGACTGAAATATAGACCTGGAAAAAATATTTTTTAATCAAAATTTACAATAATGATAATAATAATAATAATAATGATAATAATAATAATATATAATGATAATAACAATAATGATAATAATAATAATAATGATAATAATAATGACAATGATAATAATAATAATAATAATAATGATAATAATAATAATAATAATGATAATAATAATAATAATGATAATAATAATAATATAATAATAATAATAATAATAATATCGTCGAGTAAATGGTGAAGTTTAGTGAAAAACGCTTTTCACAGAACACCCCAAAAAGCTTAATGATAACAATAAGGATGAGGATTAATAATATAATAATAATAATAATGATAATAATAATAATAATAATGATAATAATAATAATAATAATAATATAATAATAATAATATAATAATAATAATAATAATAATAATAATGATAATAATAATAATAATAATAATAATATAATAATAATAAAATAATAATAATGATAATAATGATAATAATGATAATAATAATAGTAATAACATAATAATAATAATAATAATAATAATAATAATAATAATAATAATAATAATAACCATCATCATTATTATCATTATTATCATTATTGTCATTATTGTCATTATTGTCATTATTGTCATTACTGTCATTATTGTCATTATTGTCATTATTGTTATTATTGTTATTATTGTTATTATTGTTATTATTGTTATTGTTATTGTTATTGTTATTGCCATATATTACTACTACTACTGCTACTTTCATTAGTACAAAAATTATTATCAATATAAAAATACAATAATGATAATTACAATCACCATTAAAAAAGCTCAAAATCTAGTGTAACAGGCTTTTCAGAGAACACGTGAAAAATTACAGTTTTCAAATAAGAATACAAATTTTGGCAACAACTAAGTTAATAATGACAAGAATGATGATAATTGGATTCATAATAACAGTAATGATATGGGAGAATATAATACATTGATAATGATAATAAGGATAATTTTGATAAGAAGTGAAATAATAGCCGATATTTTTATAATTGTCATAGTAACAATAATGAAAATAATAGTAATAATAATAATAAAGATAATTATAACAATGATGACGATGATGATGATACTAAATAATGATAATGATA